CTGGAATCTAACCCGAGAACTTGCGATGCCAATTTGCAGAAGAAGATCCAAATCTCGTCTGGGATCGAAATTCTTGTTCTGAAACTAGTCAAAGATGGAGAATGGGACAAATCCATCAATGCATTGCAGGGATTTCAACTACGTGATGAAAAGGCTGTGAAATTCTTGCTAAACTTCTTCGAAGTTTTTGCTTCTTCTTTGGTAAAGATTGAATCTTTCACCCTTCAATCTCTTTCTGTTCCTTGTTCTTGTTCTTTTGGTGATTTCGCGAAATGGGTTTTCTTAGGATTTCTGTTACTTCCGATTGCTCCGTAGTATCTTGATTTTGCTGCAATTTTGTCCATTGAAGTATCTTGATTCATGAAAGCTCAAGATTTGATTTTGTTGCTGTATCTGCAAGATGGCTGAACGAGCTTTGAAACGTGCGAGAACACTGGCTAAGAATCCATCCGATTTCTTGGATTGGCTTGGATGCAGCATAAGCTTTTCAGAGTGTGGATGAATTGAGATCGAGGAGAACTGGGACAAGGTATTTCTGGAAGAGCTATCAGAGTTTTTTTGTTCAAATGATTCAGAATATCTTGCTTCATAAAGATGGAAATTTTGTTCTGAGGCTTCAATTTCTACACAGGTGAAGACAATATTTTTACCTACTGGTGCTTCTCTAACACCTGAAATATGTGCACCTCTTGTGGCAACTCTTCCCTTAGAGGTAATCTCGTCTCTGAACATGACATANAATTTGAACTTGTGACTTCGACTTATAATATTTCGACGTATAGAAATTGAAGAATTTATCAAAGTCATTTTCACCCTGTTCTTCATTGATAGTTTTAAGCAGTTTTTTAACACCTTCAAGTAAGTAAATAATGCTCTCATTTGTAAGCAAGACTCCCTTAGGATCACCAGTTGTTCCACTTGTATACATTATGGTACAAACATCGCTTCGTTTCTTCTCTGGTAAATCATAATATTTACCTTCACCCTGCAAGTAATTAACAGTAACACATAAACATTTCAGAATTCTGATTATTATGATACAAAAGTAGAATAAGAATACGATTATAATTCACTCTTACTAGTTTTAAGAATTGGTCCCATGAATAAATTGTTAATCCATGCCTCTCAGCTTCTGCTCTTTGCTCATCTGTAACCTCACCAAAGCTCACAATATCTGTTCCAAAAACAAATAAATAAATAAATTCCTAATTAGGAATTGTTTCATTCACTGGACTTCGATTGAACAATCAAACTCAAGAAATTGTTACTTACTCTTCATATATTTTGTTGAATTCGGAGCTGTCTTCAATAACTGAAACATCAAAAAGAAAATATTTTCTTATTTACTCAGGACTGAAGCTTATTTATTGAGTGTGTGATATATGAACCTACATACAAGATCAAATCACCTTTACAAGAATAAAAACTAAGCCTTTTAAGTCTTTTTTTTTTTGTGTGCTAGATCTTGATTTCACTTTCTTGGAGATGAATCCTTTTACACTAGCTGATGGAAGGCCTTTTCCTCTAGATATGAGGGGTGAGCTTGATGATACTGCCGCCTTCAAAAAGTAAGTGTGACTCCTGCATTTCCCAAATCTTTTGAGCTTAGGAACTACGAGTATGCGCAGATGATTAACCCCTCAAACTTGCAGATGGGGCGACATCGAATTTCCTATTCNATTTGGAAGAGTAATGAGTCCCACAGAAANCTTTATCCANGGACTCGATGAGAAGGTATCATCGTCTTGACATTAATATAACTGAAGCTTTTGTCTGCTTCATCGTTATGTGACTAGTAAAGAGTGCTTTCTTTGTTATGCAACTTTGTGGCTGCAGACAAGTGCGTCCTTGGACGGATTTGGACAATGGTAGATGGAGGAGGAGCAAGTGTCATCTATGCTGATACTGTATGTTCTCTATAGAATNATTTCTCTGNATTTTTCCTCTTTACAAGTATAATAGTTTTGATACAGGCATTAGNCATGCAGCTTTATATACTGCAAATTTAAATGTTTAAAAATAAATAAATGNACTCTTTGAAAGTTTGAAACCTTTGGCATCAAGTAGAGTCATTATTAATAATAAGTTAATAACCTAATTTTACTTATAAAAGCAAATCAAAAGTGTATATTACGTAAACCCTACTACGCTACTACTCCGTCTACTCGATTTCTAGATTCTCTAATCAGAACAGAAACAAAGCTTTGAAGAAGCGTGGCTCGTGAGTAATGGATCTGGACAACCTGGTACGTTTAGTGATTTGATTCTACTCATAATTTCATTCAATTTATGTTG